ACGACATCCAGCTCTGTCCCTGTCCTTGCGCAGAGACCAGAGCTGCAGGAGCAGGAGAAACAGGATGTGTCTTCTGCCCCCCTCAGCCGGCCGGGAAGCTGGGCCCATCTAAGGAAAGGTAAGGAATGGGGCGAAAGGGACCCCCTAAATGGACTGCGGTGTGAACATACCGCTTTTTAAATAAGGAACATTTATTGTGAATCTGAAAGAAGCAAGCACGATATAGAGTTAGCATTTCAGGGGGCTGTTGGGATTTGCTCCTGTAAGAGTTTCCCTGCCCTGTTTACTGTGCCTGTTTTCTGCGGGCCCCTCAGAGGATGTGGAAAGAGCATTTACCTTTGGTTTCCCTTAAGTCCAAGGCCATAGTTACCTGGGCATTTGAGCTGCAGCCTGTGGGGGAGAGAAGGCTGCTCGGGGACAACTGGAGGCTGCTGAGGATTGACAGGGTTAGAGTAGGAAGCACACCCCTCCCCCCAACCCTAATGTCAGTTTTCGTTTTTGACAACTTGGTTTTCATTTTGTGCTCATTTCCTTCCGGGGCATTGAAATACTTCTCTGAGGGCAGTAAGAAATGCAGCTCTAGAAAAAGTTAAATCAGAGAGTAGCAGGTGTTTTCTTCTACATTCCCTTCATCCCTGCCCCATACCCAATCTCTCTCTCTCTCTCTCTCTCTCTCTCTCTCTCTCTCTCTCTCTCACACACACACACACACACACACAGATGTTGGCTCCCCTGCCATGTCCCTGGAGCAGGGAGAGAGGTATGATTATATTCCAACCCTTTGACTCAAAATATTAGCCAATTGCATTTTCAGACTCAACAACACGGGCAAATTGCCATCAGGTTACAGTCAAAACCAGCCCCCACCTCACAGGGGCTCAGGCCAGATGTGAGTGCAGCAGTCCAGGGGTGAAGCAATTATGTGCAGGAACCATGTGACAGAGTTTTTCCCAAAATGGACTTATTTAAGAGAAACATTTTGGTGTTTATAGGACTTCAGCCCTGCTTTCTGGAGATTTTCCATCACTATAAACACTGATATACATACACACGAACATACGTGGACTTTTAATATTGGGCCCAGCATATGTAATTTCATTAAGTCATCTTATTTGTTAGAAATGGGAGAAATTAATGACTTAATATCAAAATGTTGGCAGTTGAAAGAGTCACATAGACAAATGCTGTATGGAAGCTGGAGCCCACACTCTGGCATCAGGAACATGAACTGGGAACCTTGGAGCCGTTAGCAGTGCTTGTGTGATTTTATAACGCAGAGGTAGATGGCCAGCCTGGCTGGGGGCACATCGAGAAATAACCCAGCCGCCTGGAGCTGTGCTCTCCACTTCCTTTGATCTGAAGCTTAATTGGTAACACTTCCAAGGGATAGCAACATATTACAGAGAAGTTTCAGGGTTGATGGGTTGGGCTGAGAGCATTTTGAAGTCACAGTTGCCTCATGTCATCAGTATTCTCATTTCCTCCAGCAGAGTGTTACAGGAGTTGTTTTAAAATTCTGTCCCACTCCAATTAATAACAGAATTGAGACTTAGAATCCACTATAAAGATGAGATGTTCCTATCTTGCAGCAGGCAGACTCCTTTCCTGCATTCTGCTTTGAACTACCTATTAGAAACGAGAAAATGACCCCATGTTTTGAGAACAGGGCAGAAATCACCTAAATGTGAGTATGTTGATTTAAATTAAAATGTCATATTTTATTTATAGTAAAGAATCTTAGACTTTGTTATTATTTTTTCTCAGGTCTCTTGCAGCTTTCTGAAATAAAATCTGAGTTTGAGAGAAGGCTCAGTGACCTTGAGAGTAGTTATCAGGCACATATAGATGATGGTCTACAAACCCGGATTAGGATACAAAGAAAAAATAAGTGGAAAATAAAATGATTGAATTTACACATTGAGAACTTACTTATTAAAAGATTGGTTTTTTTTAAGTTTATTGAATTTATGGAAAAAAATGACAAAGCTAAGTCCTAGACACTTATAACTGGTGAAAAATAATTAGCTTGATTATAAAAACTTACTCAAAAACAAAAAAAATGTCTGTTTTGAACCACTGGGAATTTGAAGTGTTATGACAACCACTAGAGACAAGAGGTCCTGAGTAGTAATTTATTTGTTAATTGACAGAAACAGTAGTGGATAAAAGTGGCGGGACCCTGACTAAGAGGTTCTTCAGTAGTTTGAGTGACAGGCAGCTTGAGTTTTAGTATCGGCTTAGGTTTTAAAGGTCTAGCACCTGATACACTAAAACATTAAGAAAAATGCCCTTGGCGGAGAAAGGAGTTAAGAGCTTGAATCCAAGGCCACTAGCCATATGTGGCTATTTAACTTTAAATTAATTAAAATGGAATAAAATGAAAAATTCCATTCCTCAGTCCATAAAACCATATTTTAAGTGCTCAGTAGCCACATGTGGCCAGTGGCTGCCTCGTTGAGCAACACAGATACGGGGCATTTCCATCATCACAGACAGTCTCTGGGACAGAGCTGACATAAGGGATAACAGGAAGTCGTTTCCCTCTGACTCTGCAGGAAAAGGCTGTCTGTCTCATGTCCCTCGTCTGAACAAGGCCACCATCAATAGGGAGATCTTTGGCCAGCATGCAGGCTCTGGAAAGTGATAAAAGATGCAGCACCCTCATGGCTGGCTAAAATTAAAAAACTATTACAAATGCCATTTATAACCCATGCTTGTTTAAGATTATATGTTAGCCACTCTCTAACCTAAAAGCTGCCTCGGGTCATTTCTCCTGGCACTGGGTTTGGTTTTACTCACCTGCTGTTTATAACACAGATGTTCATGACCAAGCCCAGCTGTGTTACTCTTTCCAGCCTTATTCTGTGTGCGGCAGGAAGCTCCCAGCCCCTTTCCTCCGACTTTAAACAGCTTCGCGTGACAACGTTACATCGCCCAGTTATTCCTAATTCATTCAGTCCACTTGTCCAAGAAACTGGTCTTTTGCCCTTTCTGAAGATTCGAAATATGTGTAGATGACAGATAGGTGGATAGAGATAGATGATAGATAGATAGATGATAGATAGATAGATGATAGATAGATGATAGATGATAGATGATGATAGATAGATAGATAGATAG